GTTGATTAAACTATTTATTCATTTGTTTAAGACCAGGAGCTGTAAGTGACGAATTTGATACTCTTCAACCTAAGGTAACAATTAATAAGTGATAACTATTGTACTTTGAACCCACATAATTTATTGGCCTATCGACTCATTAGACATACTGAATTACGACAAATGGTTAATAGAAAACTGGTTATTTGGATAACTGGATATTTGTAGCACCACCAGTTATAACATCTCCTTAGACCACAAAACTTTGAGGAACTGTATCTCGCAAGCCAAATAACAAAAAAAAAACATAATAGTTTTATCAAATTATGAACTTTTTTAATATGTCCCCATTAGAAAATCAAAAGTTGATAGTGTTTCACCAATAGATATAAAGGTGAAAAAAATTGAAAAATTATACAGTTTTAGAAAAGCATAAATCTGTTAAAAAAAAAAAAAAAATCAAAAAGTTAATAATTTTTGAGATAATAAGTGTAACCTCCTCTTAAATGGATCACACTGTATACCAAAATCTTTATCGAATAACTGAGTATATTAAGTTATGTTATAAAACAATTACTATGTTTCTTTAATACTAATGTTAGGTATTAGAATAAATTCAAATATTATCTTAAATATTGATGTATCATAAAAATAAAAAAATTAAACTAAGACAACTGTAACGTAACTTTTATTAAAATAAAAATATAACTTTGATCTATAGCTTACCATTGTATTCACTAGAATTATCGCCAAAAATATTCCAAATAAAATCAATTGTAATCATCGTAGGAGAAGATAACCAATTTTGAAATTTATCTAAAGGACTCAATTCTACTTCAGAGTGTTCCGTTATTTCATTAATTATATTTTCCTTTCCTTTTTCATAATCAATATTAGCTGAGTGTGAAATGTCATTAGGGTGTAGATGTTTGGGAACTGGATTTAAAGGCTGCGGAGATTTAATTATTTTTTCTACATTTCTTTTAAAATTAAGACAGTTAACTCCACTGCAAGTTTCCGGGTGACCAAAAGATGCCACAAAACTTTTAGGTACAAATTCTTTCAGCTGCTCATTATCATTATATTCCATAGTTTTATGGACATTTGCATAGGGCAATTCCTTGTTTTCAGTATTATATTGATGTTGAATAATTTCATCATCATGATTTGGGGTACTGTCAATTGATTGCAAACATCCAGCTGATGTACACTGATCAACTGAATTTTTATTTAATACTTCTGTTACATCCAGTTCATTAACAACTGTTGTATGGTAATCATTAGATGGAACAATTTTGGTCTCATTAATTAATTCTTGCGGGGGAGAAGATTTTGTTGTATTAGTATCAGCTGAATCATTATTTGATATATTAGATTCGACATTAGGTAAATTATCCTTGTGAGTGTTTTGAGATTTATGTTCTTTGGGATCATTTGATACTATAGGTATATCATCTTTAGTTTCACTAACTACTGGCTGATATATAATTTCATCTTTTAAATTGTCTCCAATAGCCATAGAATCATCATTTGAAATTTCACTTTCATAATTTATTTCTACCTTTTCTTTTTCTTTGTCTAATAAAGGTGATTGTTTATAATTGGTGTCAATCTGTTGGTTGTCGGCTTCAGTGATAGCTGGTAAAGAATCACTATTTATGTTTTCCGGCTGCGTTTTATTTAATTGTTCTGTACTATCATTATTAACTACAACTGTATTGGAGTTTTGTGACCCTACAACATTAACTGATTCCTGTATCAAAATATTTGTTTCTGGCTCTACACTTGGTAATTCTTGAGCAGTTTGTACTTCTTCACTTTTTGGTTGATAAGAACTATTCATATTCAACTCTTTAGTACCATTATTATTTTCTTTTAAATCAACTACTATATTGGAGTCTTGTAGCTTTGTATTACTGCTAACTGGTTTTTGTGCTGAGACATCTATTTTTTTCTCTTCACTTGGTAATTGTTGAGTAGTTTGTATGGGTTCATTTATTTGCTGATGAGAACTGTTAATATTAGGCACTTCAGTGCTATTATTAATATCTTGTAAATTAATATCTATATTAGTGATTTGTGGTGCCACATAAATTGATTTTTGTATTAAATTATCTGCCTCATCTAAATGTGATGATTCATGAGTAATTTGTACTTGTTCAATTTCTTGTTGATATGAACTATCTAAAGTAAATTCTTTAGTATCATTATTATTACTATCTTCTAAGTTAACTTCTGAATTAATGTTTTTTGGTGACAAATTATTAGTTGATTCATTTATTGAATTATCTGTCTTATCTAAATTTGGTGATTGCTGTGTTATTTGAACGTTATCAATTATTTGTTGAAGAGAATCGTCTGTACTCACTGGAGAAATACTACTTCTTGAATTTTCAGTTACAATGTTTTCTTTGACTCCTTTTACACAAGAATCTAAAGAACATTCTGACGAAAAATGGTTTTCTAATTGTTGATCACTAGTTGATGGATGTGTATTTTGTTGGTTTATAGTTTTAGCTTTAAAATTTTTTTCAGAATCAACAGAATCAGTATTTAAAATCTGTTCACTGTTTGTAGATAATATTTCATTAACTGAATTTATAGGAACATCATTATTAATTTTTGGTGGATTTTGAACTAAATTATCATCAAGATCTGATTCATCTTCACTTTCAATTTCTATACTTTCGTCTATATCATTATCATAATCTGAAGAAAATGAATCTGTTTCATTATTTAATTTATCATCAAATTGTTCAGTATCTTTATTGTTTACATCTTGAAGAACTTCTGAAGTATCAATTTCATCACTAATCTTGAAAATTGTTTCATCAGTATCTGTACTAATATGAGAGATACTGGAATCACTGTCTATATCTTCATTATTTTGATTATTTGATTCGCATATTTCTAAATTATTTTTAAAAACATTTACTCTAAACTTCCAATGTTCATGTTTAGCTAAATGTAATATTTTAATATCTCGTCTATAGATTCTAGATTTTTTACCCTAAAAAAATAAAATAAGCATTATAAATTAAAATGAATTAATATTAAAAATGAAACAAGTTAATTTAACTGATTTATTTTTTGAAAATTGTGTGTTACTAATAAAATATAAATAATTAGTTCACCTTCAGGCTTTTGACCAAAAGCATGTTGTCATTTTGACCAAGAATGGTGACATTATGTTTTGGACTAATAAGACGTCGGCCCACTGAGATTTTATCTAAATCCAAAGCAGATAAAATGTTATGAGTGTGAATCAGAATTATGGTTAGAATACAATTAATTAATATAAATGTTAATATTTTTGGTGAATAACATATGCAACCGAATGACCCAAAATATACTAATTAAAACATTGAAACCCATGCAATTACTATAATGATTTCCAATTTAATCTTGTACAAGTATAATGCATAGGTATGTACACTAGTTTAAATCTCATAATATAATGTTATACCATTTCAAATTCCAAACAGCAACTCCACACCACTTACCATTCACTATTGCACTGTCACACTCAGGGGTTAGACACTGAAACTCAAATACTGGGTCGGACCCACAGTGTACTGCCGGCGAACCAATGTTGAGTATGGCCGAAGTGATGACTATTATTTTAAGTACAAACATTGTCAGCACCGTTCGAGCGTCTCAAGTCATCTGAACAAATAAACTGTTCTTCTAGACGATCGACCCGTCGTAATTGAAAAACAATATCTTAGACACGCACTATGAAAAATGAATTAATAAAAAACACGTACTACGCAATCAACGCGATATTATTGTTATAATATTATTATTATTAAAATATAGTTGTTTTCGCTGTGCGAAAATGAAAGTAACAACTATAACAACAAGTAACTACTGTTATTTGTCTAGGTCTCATGCCCAGAATTGGCAGAATTTAGCTATCAGATTTATTCGGATCAGTTGTTGAACGAGAATGTAAGACAACGTCCGCAACCAGCTTACTCCACAGATAGTACTATCTTTAATTGTGGTGATTGTACGTGGTTGTCTTAACACGTTGACAAACGGTAATCAGCTGACCGCCTCGAATATAATTTTTTTTTTAATAATAATTTACATATTTCATCTATAATTCAGTATTTTTATTGTGTATTTGTGTCTAACATACAAATTTAAAGCCATAAAATATGTAATTATAAAGATCAAGGCACTGGAAAAAACACAGAATACTAGAATTGATTAAATGGATCAATAGAAAGAATACCCATGTCTAAAAATAAATACATATTATTTTGAAATGTGTAATACACTGAATTTAACGATTTTATCGCCCTACAGTAAAAACTATAATAGATATTAGATACCCAATCTTTTTCTTTAATAATAATTATTTCTTATGTTCTTGAATTTTAATAATCATTTTGTTATTATTAGGTAAATAAATACTAAATATCTATATCAAATATGAATATTATTAGTTCCATAATTCCACTGTACTTTTATAATAAATAATAATACATTAATATATCATACATTCATACCTATGTTTATTACTTAGGTAAAATATAATATTCTTTTACATTACAATATAAAAAAACAGGACTTTACCTACATAGGTTTCTGAAGAAACCATTGAACCATTTTATACTTTTTGCATTCCTCACAATTTTCACTGCATGTGCCATATTGTCATGGGACAAAAATATTTTACCTAAAATATCATTACACTTATATTAATTTTGATTAAATTATAAAAATTGAAAAACTATATATTATAGATACTTGAATTTATGTATTGACACATAAATACCATAGAACTTTAACGTATCTGATGAAAATATGACGTGGAAAGTAAAAATAAATGTTTAAAACCAAATGAGTTAAAATAATAATTTATTTTAAATAATAAATCATAAGAACAAAATACATTCAACAAGTAAATTAAAAAAACAAATACAATCTTATTTAACATTATCATTATACAGATTTAACTTAACATAAATTAGACACTGAGTTCAAAGTTTCAAACAATTACAGTTAACATCTATTGGTAGAATGTATATAATATATTATCTATTGTACAAATCCATACACTGGTAGATGTATTTGACTTTACAAAAAATGATTTCATTAATAGAAGAAAATATCATAAATTGTAGTCAGTAATAACATACCAAGAAAATATAAACACATTTTTAAAAACGAAATCGAGATCAAATTAATTTATAACTGAAAGACACACACAAATTTTTTTTAAATGTACTTACAAAAGAAAAAAAACATGAGTTTATCAGAATTGATCTAATAAAGTATAGTTTGTAAATATCTATGCAAAGTATCTGAATTCCAATTGCACATTAAAAGATTATGTTGATGATCAGAATTAGAAAGTATATCACACACAAAGACATTTATAAAACTATAATTAGGAAAAGTTAAATACAATGAATAATGATAGAATATAACATAAACAATAATTGTAGTGTATCAATAATATATTACATTGGCAAATTATTTTATTTTAAATAATAAACTTAATAAGTACATTTTAGTTTATTTTTCATCGCCCTGACAATTACTTTATAATATATTTAATGTACTGTTGTCAGGGAATTACAATTTTTAATGAACAATGATTTAATACAATTTATTTTGAATGTGTCATGTATTGAAGTTATTAATCTCTCAACAGCAAATTTAATGGATAACGGGTCCTCAAATGTATACATTAATACATTATGATAATTCAATAAATGTCATAAAAAAACAATAATACCGTCGGGAAAATAATTTGATTTAATATAAGGCAAAAAATAGTAAAATTGATAGGTACTTCAATTATTTCAATTTTTTGGAAGTCTTTTCTGGTTCCATTTTATGATCTTCATAGCTGTAAAATATTTATAAATCCATAATTTTAATACATTTTTTTTATAAAAATATATTCTTTACGCATATTTTATCAAATAAAAATAAGTTTTCAGTTTTAAAATACAAAATAATAAAATAAACATAAAGTAACATAAATAATTACTTATATGCATACTATTAATGTTAATATTACCTGAATAAAGTTTTTAAATCTCCACATACTAAAGCTACCAACATGGGAGTAATTAAACATGCAGGTACCAAGTATAATAAAGCTGGCTGAGCTGCTTTAAATACATGCATGACAAATACAGTGGTAAGTAGGCCCAAAAAATAGGCTAAAAATGTTGCATTGAAATATGTATTTGTCTTACGTTTTAAGCTATAAAATCAAAAAATATATTAAAATGTACTCTCTTTAATTCATCAATATAAATAAAATAAAAGTATATACCTATGATCAAATCTTAACATGAATGCAATAAATATTCCGGGAATAACAATATCACCTAAGCCCAACATAGCAAAGTTCTTAGCAGCTAAAATACCATTTTCTAATAAATCCTGAGGGAATACAACTGTAATGAAGTATAAATAAATTAGATTGAAATTAAGTGTATCATTATGTATGTGTACAAATATTAGAATTTTTCATGTAAAAGATGATGAACTAACGTTTGATAGGAGCATCAAATGATTTGGCCACAGTAACCATAACGTTGGTACCAAACACCCAAAATATATCATAGACAAATAGACCACATAAGAGGATACATCCAATTTTAATAGTGTTGAGGTGCAACAATTCTATTCCATTTATAGCAAAGGCCAATCCAAATATATTGTTTGTAATCCAATGCTAAAATTAAAAAAATATTTATATAATTAGTTATATTAATACTAGGAAACAACCAAAAATAAAATAATACCTTGCTATATATATAAAATGTTCCTACGATTGCACATGATATAAAACATAATACATCATGTAATGTACATTTTACATTTATCCAATCATGTTTTTTTTCACCAGTGCCTTCTGTAAACTGCAATTGGTATTTTGTCTTAGGAATACTTTTTGGTAACATGGCGCTAAATTTAGAACTAAGTAAAAAAAAATAAATATATTGTAGCAATAATTTGAATAGGTAGGTAATTATCATTTATTCTTGTAAATAATAGATCTTTACCCTAGAACATTACTTAAGGCTGCCACTCCAAGAACATAAAAATATAAAGTCACTAATAGATTTATGTGTTCCTTAGAAAAAACCTATATTTCAAATAAACAAGATAGATATTATATTTTTTGAATATAAAAAATGCATAAACAAATTGGTATGATTATTATCTGTAAGACTATATAATATTTGATACCCTAAAAATGATGTAGAGCGTAAAGAGAGCTCCACTAGCAATCACTGGAAACATCATGGCATCTTTTTCTGTCATGGACTCTGGTATTTCTTTTTTCATCTGAAATAGGAAACAAGATTTTAGCCTAATGGCTAGGTAATTATAAATATGTTAGTTTAAATACTAACTTTATTTTTAATGTGTAGTTCTACTGATCGGAAGGAGCCAAAAAATATAGGCACTAAAGCCATGACCACTAAACTGGTGTATGCAATCAGCATACCTTCAGTGGTGGCCGGTACTTTTTTGAGAACAGACTCTGTGTCCGTACCATTTGTCCCGTTTAAGGTTTTTATTATGTCATCTACGATTTCGGCCATTGTTGAAAAATTAAGTTAAATAGTAAAAATAATAATGAAGACAACTCGTACAGATTTATTTTAAATTGTTATAAATGGGTAGCTCAAGAAGACGTGAACTAATAAATATATAGAATATATGTAGTGAAAGTAAAACGTACCCACAACCACAAGTCACAAACTCACAATACGAATACAACCCGGTAAACTACAATATTGTAAAAATGGACCAAATACATTATACACGAGTGACAACAAGACATGGTTAGTGATACAGATTATAGACGTAAAAAGCGCACGTCAACTAAAATATAATCTAACACAGGAATCCGTTATAAGTTTAGTAAATTTCTCTCTGCACACGTTGGTCACACTGCATTGATAAATTGTTATTTTTCATCAATAAATTCTTTTTACTTTTCAGTTTTCAATGTTTTCATTCCCACCGATTACCGAAGCCGCCGCGGCTGTGAGAATGACAGAACGAGTGTTTAGATAACGAAATAACCGCCAATCGCTATTGTGCATGGCGCCATTTTACGTTCCTTAAATTCCTTTTTCACATTTTCATTCTCCTGAATAGTTAAATGTTAAATGTGCTATTCTATATATCAATTTCTTTTCTATGAGACATGAGCGTGGGTTATGGCTGTCAGGTTAAACTGTAGAACCACCGTGCAGGTTGCAAGATCATAACCGTTTGCAGACGTGCGGCTGATTTTTCGTGCGATCCGTACTTCCATGGACAGATTTTCTTGGCATTAGCGCCCTTTACGTTTGGTCAAATTTGGACGTTTTAAAAGAGTAAATATAAAATTACAAGTATATCAAGTATGTTAGTTAATGCATAATAATATATGTCAAGGCTCTTGTGTCTTTCAAATAACAAGTGACAGCAAATACAATCGTTTGATGCGAATATAATATAAAATGTTGTAGTTTGTATTCAACAACAATATTGACAATTTAAATTATTTGCATGAAATTTGTTTAGTATAATGGCGGTGAAACGAAAGGATAAAGCTGAGAATCATGACACCCCTGCAAAAAACAAAAGGATCAGGCAAGAAAAGGTTGGTGACTTTTCCGATGATGAAGACTTATCAGACATTGATGACGCAGATGTATTCAATGGTATCCGAATACCGGTTGAATTACCTCCAATTACATCAGCTGAAGAAAATCCTGGGCCTCGCATGGTCATTACAGAAATTGTTGCTAATAACTTTAAAAGTTATTATGGAGAAGTTACTATTGGGCAATTTCATAAGGTAAGGATATGATTTCATGTTTTATCATGTAAGTAATGAGTTATTAGATTAGTTCATAAGAAAAGCAATACAATGCCTGAAAAAAGGTGGGCATTTGGTAAGAAAGCAATTACAACATTTATAATTAAACAATTATTATTAGCAAAGTTATATTTACTATTAATGTTAATAAGAAACTGCTGTTTTAAGTCTCTCAACAAATAGATAAAAGATTTTGAATATAGTAATGTATGAGTACCTTTGTATTGTCTTTATCATCATAGTTATAAGTATAGGTATATTAAAAACTGAATTAAAAAATTTTTTTCATTTATACTAGAGCTTATAAATTATTAAAACGTATAAATCAACTTACATTTGTGTTCAGACTATTTTAAATTGGTAACGGTCCAATATACGACCTACAGACTGGTTTACGGTCCAACACTTGACCTACGTCATAAATGTAAAATACCTATAATTTTAACTAACCTTTTTTTATTTCACTTCTGTGTCGTCAATAACTGCATTGTTTCAGTCTGTATTGTTATAAAACGTCTTTTTCATATCGATCTAAAAGTCATCAAAAATGGTTTTTGGATTTTGACACAATCTCCACCACTCTTCTTGGAGTTGACTATCTAGTAAAGGAGACACTCCATTCTTTGTAATATTATATTTAGATTTTATAATTCTCCATAAGCCTTCAATTTGTTGAGTGTGTGCTTCTGTTTCCGGGTCAATAAAAAAATCTGAATGGTTAACTGTTTGATGAATATACTATCCATGATGATTTAATGTGGAGTACGCTTTCCACTATAAATTGTCGTTCCAGTTTTTATTTCATTTTTAATAATTTGTAAAAGAGTTTTTCGGTCCCGTTTTTCTCCGATAAAAAACCACCTCTCTAATATTAAGTCTGGCCGTTTCCAACAAATACCAAATACCCATGGGCCTATCATACGATTCCCCTTAATTTTTATTTGTATGTACTATTTCATTTTCGTCAGAATCTTCGTTGTTGGAATTATTTATTTCTCTTAATGGCTGATGGCCCTCACATTGTAATCGACCACGGTTTTACTTCCTTTTACCTTGAAAAAGAGATTTGTCAGTTTGGACAGTACAACCATGAACCCCCCATTTTCTCTCTTTTTGAAAAACAATTTACTGGTATATCTCAACATGACAGTAAATACAAGTACTAATGATTGTTAGAGAACAAGAATAAAATAGAATAAAATCCCCATAACGACAATAACCACGATAAAGAAACATATTGGACCGTTACCTTTAAATTTTATAAATCATACTTGTAGTTTTCAAACTAAAATACTAAATATAAAATTACCAAAGTCAATTATAGTAAAATGAGATCTCACTTGATTTTTGCTTTGCCAATCGCATCATATGGGATGTCTCGAAAACTGATCATTTTCTCTTGGAATAGACTGTAGGTACTAAAATATCTAGAAATATTTTGAGAGAAAATGGTAGAGTTGAAAAATTTAAGACTAATTTAGAAAATACCTTAAGTATTTAAAATTGGAAACATTTTTATTCTTATTTAATATGTATAAGAAATCTTAATTAAAAAAATTATAATAACTACAAATTGTTTTTCAGTTTAGATTTAGGTATGATTTATTAAGGATAGATATAAATATTAAGGTGTACATGTACTTAGTAGTGCTTAACTTGTTAGTCTATCTATCTCCTTCTATAACATTCTATGTATAATTTTTCTATAAATCAAAATCACTATTCTATTGATGGGTTTGCTCATTTACTCAGAACTAAGAAGTATAAATATACAGTCAAAACTCTTTATAATGAAACTCTTTACAACAAAAAACTCTATATAACGTAAACATTACATAATAATGGTTGGTTTGCTATATAACCCATTAGACAATTCATTCTCTATAACGTATTAGTCACTCTCAATAACGAAACAATATTTTATGTTTCATAATACAATTTACGTGTTATCGTATCCATTACATATATAAACTATAAAAATAATCGGCAATAATGCCAAATAAAAAAGTCCAAACTAAGATGACAGACTATTTTAAATAAAGTATAAATATGTATAGTATAAAAATTAAATTATATTTAATAAGTATGTATAATAATAATAATAATAATTTAATATAATACGTAAATATATATAAAATAATGTAAAAATAATGATGTGTTTGATAAATAATTAAAATTTTGTTTTTTTTAAACCCTCTCTATTACGAAAACTCTCTATAACGAAAGAAATCTCTTGGTCCCTTCAGATTCGTTATAAAGAGTTTTGACTGTATATAAATAATGTTTTTTTATTAAACAGTGTTGCAGTTAAATGAAATTGTCCAAAAGTGTATTACTATAGCTGTACAGAAATATTTTTCAGTACTATACTATTAATACAATTTTTTCAATGTGCAACTATTTTGGAATTTTAAATTTCCAGTGACAGATTTTATAAAATGTCAGCTTTCTTAAAGCTTCTTCAAACTAATTGCAATTCTTTCTAAGTTTCTATAAAAGAAAGTGAGTGGCCTGAAAAATTCTGAATGGTCTATGACTAGATTGATGGTAAAGATTTGACAATATTTTAAAAGGCTCTTCTGTAATTATTGTATTACTTGTTATGCAAATAATTTCTTTTTTAGTACTTTTACAAATATAATTGTCCTTAAAACTAGTGTTTTTTAATTAACCCTCTAACTCTATCGCTCAATTTAATTCAAAACCTTAGATTAATATTCTAAAATTTCTATAATTTAAATTGTCAACCTCAATTAATGGATGATTATCCTTTTCAATCCAAAATGGTATGTTCCGATTAGCTTAAGATATAAGATATTGGTTTAATAAGGCAACAACCATTTGTTAACTCTCCCACCCCCAATATTCATTCATCAATATACCTTTCATATAGATTGCCGCTTCCCTGCGTACTAGTCAGATACCGACTGTGTGTCTTAACTTGAATATATAAGGACTGTTGTCTCCTGACAATCATTTATATAGTTTATTTAAATTGAAGTTGTATATGTTTTTTTAAATGCTATAAATATTATATCATTCAAATATTATATATTTTTTTTTTTGTATGTTAAGTGTTGTTATACTTGTATGTACAAATTGTCAAAGCATCTTGTTATTTTATAGAGTTTAACAAGTATTGTTGGTGCTAATGGCAGTGGAAAGAGTAATGTCATTGATTCTTTACTTTTTGTATTTGGATACCGTTCTTCAAAAATTAGATCAAAAAAAGTATCAGTACTCTTACATAAATCAGACAAGCACAAAGATGTTCGCCAATGTTCTGTCACCGTTCATTTTGTGCATATTCAAGATGATGTAATGGTTTTTTTTTATTAATAGTTACAATTTTTAAATTTAAAATTGTTTATGTTGTTATAGATAACAGCACAAACCGGATTTGTTCCTATTCCAGGTACTGAAATAAAAATTACACGCACGGCTTTTAAAGACAATTCGTCATTTTATACATTAAATGATAAACGTGTGAAGTTTAAGGATATAGCAATTATTTTAAAGAAAAATGGAATAGATTTAGTTCATAATAGATTTCTTATTCTTCAGGTGAGTTGTATAAAGTATTTAAACAAATATATTCTTATACAAGAAAAAATATAAATATAGTTATATTCATAAATTTAGGGTGAAGTTGAACAGATTGCTATGATGAAACCTAAATCTGAAAATGACCATTCAACTGGCATGTTAGAATATTTGGAAGATGTCATAGGGACCGTGAGATACAAGGTTAGATTTTATTTAGAAATTGTATGTTTGTATATTTGTTAAATGTTAATTGATTGATAACTTACTATTAAAAATGCTCCATACTATAAAATAGATAATGATATGGAATGGCTTTGAAAACCTAAATAATTTTAATAAAAATGTACATCTTTATTTTTATGTAATTCTATTAAAATTGAATTTAGAAACCAATTACTAAACTCGAAGAAAGAGTTAAAGATTTATCATTGGAGAAAAATGAAAAAA